AAAAAAAAAGAAATCTCAAATCAAATCAAGACATCAAATTCATCTCAAAGATATGCCCCGATGATGGCTCAACTGACTGACAATTAAATTCTTGAATAGTACTTACAAATATTGTCGAGTGATAATGCCGCACATTATCAGATTTGGTCATCAGCGAACTTTCCTTCGCTACGGATTAATCACTAATTGGGAATCCCAGATCATTGGCGGTCGGATGAGTTTATTCACAAGAGATACAGAAACAAAAAGAAATCTTGGTGTGTCATTGAGTCAGAAACCTTGCTGGATAGCGGTCCTAGTCCAACAGCGAAAAATAAACCCAATTTTTATCTCGTTGTGGAGAATTGCCTTTGATCAATTCCTATCACTGCATCTACCTGTCTTGTGGAATGAAAAAAAAAATTAAAGAACAATGTTTGAATACCAAGGTATGAATGTTGACATGAATGGGATAGCGAACCTATTCGCTCTAGCCTTCTACATAAGCTCTTTGTCAGCCCTTGCTCGTTTTTTATCAGTCCTCGTCACCAATCACCTTCGGTCCCTTCGCATTCTACACCACCTATTAAAGTGTTCCACCCTTAATATGAAAGACGTTGTAGACCTCATGACTCCCGTCTTTTATGGCTCGTTATCTCTAACAGTGTTATCAATCATTTTCACTGAACATATATGGTCCCTTCTTAATCCATATCCCTCACTAAAGTACCAATGCTCCACCATTAGTACAAAGAAGTAGCGGATCCTGCGGCTCTCGCCGTCTGAGGTGCTTTACCGACTCCTTCCAATGGTTATCACCTCTTCCACATATCGTCAGTGTTCCCGTCCTGTCGCCTGTGCTCCTACCAAGTTTGAATGCTTTGGGTCCACGGGGACAGAGTTATGAATTTGTGAACTAAAATTCTTATCGTGCACGCCCCGCTCCCTGTGAACGGAATCTGGCCCTGCCACTTACTATAGGTGTTCGCATCCTGTCGCCTGTGCTCCTGCCAAGTTTGAACGCTCCAAGTCCACGAGGACAGGAGTTATGAATTTCCGGTCAGACAGACACAAACAAACACACAAACACACCGACACACCAACAGACACACTTGGCGAATTACATATGATGTAGGATGATGTTTGTGACTCGTTAAGGTATTCCGTTTTCTCTCCATCTAGATATCCGATGCAACAAAATCAATCCGACCACCAAAATTGGAAATCGGCAGGATGGGTTATGGGTTTTGATAGTGGAGTGATCAACAGTTTAGAACAATAATAAGTACCATTCGAAATTTTCGGTTGACCAAACAGGTTGATCAGCCAGAGAGAAGACGCTGTGCCAGTGAAGCTAACAAAGAAAACAGCTTGACTATCACGCTGTTAGGATCCGGAGCAGATGATATTCCTCTTTTCAAAAACTCGGGAGGGGAAGGGGCAGTGTTGATGAAGGAGAGCTCGGCAGAAACACAACCAATGTAAATAGCTAATATGTGTTGTTGTTTATGCTCATGCGCCAAATAGATTCAAAAGAAAGCGACTGGTCAGCTATCGGTTAGACTTCGCCGTAGGGTAGAAGGGGATTTCCTTGCGGTGTGTCCGGCTGGTATGGGAAGGGTAGGCAATGAAGAAAGAAAAATTAGTGGGGCAGCCGAATTCCAAATACTACGTAGACAAACATAGTACCATGCCCTTTACGATCGAGTAGCAGTGTCGAAACACTGCCAGTACAGTACTGTAGAAATCATAGTTTGAACTACCCACTTCACTCCATATTACTCACTTCACTCCGCAGATCTCACTTTACTCCATTAACTTACCCACAAAGTGACTGCTTTATATATCACCTGCCACCTGTCGTCCCGTTGATCGTCGACTTCCTCGAGCGGGCGCCAGTAACGTCTCCATTCGTCCCTGTCACGAGCCAGAGGGGTCCAGTGAATCGTTCTCGCTTCAGGGACACGAGGTTCAACATTCCTTTCGCTCAGAGCTTTCGTGAAGAAGTCTTACGGATCTTCTTTCACTGAGGGTTCTCTCTCACTGAAGGATCCCGAGCCGGTTAGTGCTTTATATATAAGAAGGATAAGTTCTTCGTATCACCACCTTTATCATAATCACAAAGTAACCCGGAGGGCAGACCGACAAACCGTCATACCGACATACCGACATACCGACAAACCGACAAACCAAGTTACTGCTTTAATATAAATGAAGAGGTCTTTGAAAAGGCATTACCGTATCGCTTAAAGGCACGGTTAACGACTAAATGGTTTCGAAGGTATGCACATGGTTAGAATTCTGAGCCCCCTCTGATAACATTTGTGCAGGAATTAGGTCGGAAAACGGCTGGATAGGGCACAATAAGGCCAGGAACAGTGGGGGACGCGATGCCTCCGCCCCTCGTTAGGCTGACTACGTGTTCAAATTGTCATTCACCACGTTCGCACTGGAGCGAAGCTGGTGAAAAATCGATACGCAGATTGGCAAATAGCCAGGAATGATCAGCTGGTCGACCGCCTCGTACAGGAGCTAGTATTCAACTGTTTTTTCTATTTTATGTTTGTATTTCTATGGTTTTTTTTGTTATGAATTT